ACTGCCTTGTAAGAAATGTTGAAAGAAGGTCTTCAAACAAATAAAAAAGTGGAAGTACACAAAACTCTTACTAAGGTGACAGAATTTGAAAACTTTAACTCTATTTTAGAATATAGTAAACAATTACAGCATAAAGGTAGTATTTAAAATAACTATAGCTACTACAACCTGTTAAAAATTTCACAGAATAAAAGGATAATCTGTGACATAAAAAAACACAAAAGGGAAGGTGTGAAAGGATGGAACTTTTATAGGTAAAGAATGATAAATTGCTATCAGCACAAAATGGACTATTTTATCTGAGATGCTTTATGTAAACCTTATGGTAAACAAAAAGCAAACATTTAGAGAAGACACATGAAACATGAAAAGCCAGCAAGTTACAAAAGTAGACTCAAAACAGAAGGAAAAAGAAACAATGGAGACAAAATAACTGGACAGTAAAATATGAAATGGCAGTAATAAGCCCTTATATTAACTAGTGGCCCAGATGCACAAAATTCGTGCACATTAAAAGGGAATTAGAGGAAATGTTTTAATATTGCTAATTGCCCTTTCTCTATAATAGGTATGTCAGAGATGAAAGAAAATTAGTAAAATGTGTATGAAAATCTTCCTCCTGTCAGAGTCTGGAGCGCACTGTAGGACCCAGAGTCAAATCCCCATCCACCCGTGCATGCCTCAAAATCACGCAAGACCCAAACCTGGCCACCCCGACCCCCATTGGGCGAGATCCAGACCAGCCTGGCCCCACCCGCATCAAGCCCCGCCGGGCGGGGGGTGCAGCCTCAGGGCCCAAGGGCATGGCCTCAGGTCCCCCAGCCCGGCCCAGGGATAGGGTCACGGCCTGAGGTCTCCCAGCCCAGTGCTGGGGCAGGGGGCGCGGTCTGAGATCCCCTGGCCTGAGCCAGGCCGGGGCGCGCTTTGAGGCCCCCTGTCAAGGGGGGAGGGGGGGGAACGCAGCCTGAGGTCCCCGGTTAAGCACTGCTGGGCAGGGGGCGCAGCCTCAGGTCTCCTGCCCCAGCGCCACGCTGATCGCTTGTTACGGCTTGTTATAGGAACCCCGCCTCTGCTGTGGCCACAGCCATCTTGTGACAGCGTTAGGGTTAAATTGTATATTACCTCTTTATTATATAGGATAAAAACCCTAAATGTAAATGGGTTGAAAACAAGACACAACTATATGCTGTGTACAAAAAACTCATTTTAGCTCTAATCCAGTGGTTCTCAACCTTCTGGCCCTTTAAATACAGTTCCTCATGTTGTGACCCAACCATAAAATTATTTTCGTTGCTACTTCATAACTGTAATGTTGCTGTTATGAATCGTAATGTAAATATCTGATATGCAGGATGGTCTTAGGCGACCCCTGTGAAAGGGTCGTTTGACCCCCAAAGGGGTCGCGACCCACAGGTTGAGAACCGCTGCTCTAAGGACACATAGGCTTAAAGTGAAGGGCTGAAAGATGTATTTCAAGCAAGTGGAAACCAAAAGAAAGCAGGTCTAGCCATACTTAGATCAGTCAAGATAGATTTCAAGCCAAAAATGGTCAAAGAAAATTGCATAATGGTAAAACAATCATAAATATATATGCTCTGAGCACCAAAACATATTAAGCAAATGCTAAATATGTCTTAAGGAAGAAATAGACAAAAACACAATAAGAGTAGGGTATCCCCACTATTACCAATGGAAAGATCGTCCAGAAAAGAAAATTTTGGAATTGAAACATACTTTAGAACAAATGGACTTATCAAGCATATATATATCATTCCATCCCAAAGCAGCAGAATACACACTCTTGTCAAATGCACACAGAACATTCTCCCAGATAGACCATATGATAGGACACTAAACAAATCTTAGCAAATTTAAGACTGAAATCATACCAACTGTCTTTTCTGACCACTGTGGTATGGACCTAGAAAGCATGAGGAAAGTGAAAAGATCTACAAATATGTGGAAACTGAACACACTTATACACAAATAAAAACTAAAAAAGAAAATAAAAAGTTATCTTGAAAAAAAAATACAACACAACATACTGAATCTTGTGGTTCGAGGCAAAAGCAGTTCTGAAAGTTTAGAGCAACAAACACATATATTAAGAAATTAGATCTCAAAGAAGCTAACTTTATACTTCAAGGAACTACAAAAAAGTGCAACAAATTAAGCCCAAAGTTAGCAGAAGGAAGAAACTATAAAGATCAGCACGGAAATAAGAGAGCAGAAAAACAATAGGAAAAGATCAATGAAAATAAGAGGTGGTTCACTGAAAAGATAAAATTGACAGACCTTTAGCTGGAATAAGTCAGAAAACTTTAGAAAGCAAAGAGGAGACACTACATACAACTGATACTACAGAAATATGTAGGATCATAAGAGAGTCCTATGAACAATTATATGCCAAAAAATTACATAACCTAGGAGAAATGGATGCATTTCTAGAAACACATAACCTACCAAATTTGAATCAGGAAGAGATAGAAAATATGAACAGACCAATAACGAGTAAAAAGGTTGAATCAGTAATCAAACAACTACCAACACAGAAAACTCCAGGACCAGATAGGTGATGGCTTCACTGGTGAGATAATCAAGCATTTAAACAAGGATTAACGTCCATCCTCCTCAAACTCTTCCAAAATATTGAGGAAGAGGGAACACTTCCAAACTCATACATAACAGGAGGCATTACATTGATTAAATAAACAGAGAAGAATAGCACAATAAAACTATAAACCAATATCCCTGATGAATATACATGTAAACATTCTCAAAAAATACTAAGAAACCAAATTCAAGAACACATTTAAAAGTATTATACACCATGGTCAAGTGGAATTTGTCCCTGGGGTACAAGGATAGTTCCAAATATACAACTCAATAAATGTAATATATCACATTACTAAATTGAAAGATAAAAATCACATGATCATTTCAATAGGTGCAGAAAAAACACTTGACAAAATACATCATCCTTTCTGGATAAAAACTTTTAACAGACTGAATATAAGAGGTACTTTCCTCAACATAATCATATGAGACACATCCATAGCTAACATACTCAACTTTGTTCCTCTAAAGTCAGGAACAAAACATTGATGCCCACTTTCACTACTTATTCAATATAGTATTAGAAGTCCTAGCTAGAGAAATTAGGCAAAACAAATACATAAAATGCATCCAAGTAGGAAAGGACAAGAAATATTGTCTTTATTTACTGATGATATGATTTTATCTATAGAAAATCCCCAAAATCAATTCTAATGGATCAAAGACTTATACATAAGTCTTGATACCATAAAAAGTACTAGAAGAGAATGTAGAAAAGAAGCTCTTGGATATGATATTTTTACATGACGCTAAAAGCAAAAATCAACAAATGAAACTACAACAAATTCAAAAGATTCTGCACAGCAAAAAAGCAACAGAAAACAATTGCAGAGTGGGAGAAAAGACAACCTGCCGAGTGGGAGAAAATTTTTGCAAACCATTTATCAGATAAGGTATTAACACTCAAAATATATAAAGAGCTCATAAACTTAACAAACCCAATCTAATTTTAAAAAGGGACAGAATTATTGAAGACATTTTTGCAGAGAACATTGAGTTTTATGTATAACTTCATAAATAACTATGAATATTGGTCATATAGGAACTACTTTTTCCTTTAGGATAGGGAATACACAATTTAGAGACCAATATGATTAAGTTGAAGCGCCTTAGCAGCATCCTGTGACTCATCTGCTTACCCTATTTTTCTTATCTGCATACATCAACATTTATGTATGTACCAGTTCTACTTAGCTAGTCATAATGCTCCTATATAAACTGCAGATTCATTTTATCTTGTTGACCTGAAACTGTTCTCCCTTGTGGCTAATTCCTATTCTCTAGTGTTTAGGCATCATTTCCTCCTCTTGGAGGTTTTCCCTGATTCCTGGGTACCTTCTCTGCCATGCCCCACCTTTCTCTGTGCTCCTATAACGTGTGCCCATGCTATCACCACTGCATTCACATTGTATTGAAATGATGATTCAAACATCTACCACCTACCTGTAAACATACCTTTCTTATTCAGCTTGGTATCCATATTGGCACCTTACACACAGTAGATTCTTGTATTTGAAATGTATTGCAACAAAGCTCTCATACAACAGAATTGGATGAATGACAACATAATCTGCTGTAAACTCAAATTAAGAGGCTGAAGCAGTATTTTCTTGTTTTCAGTTTTCACCTGAGGGTATCAAAAGATGGAGTGAATATTTTGGTTTGACTCCTAGCTGAAGGATGGGATGGGTTTTACCAACATTAAACCACTCTTCTAATTGGGACTTGGAGCCACTACAATGCAAGTGAGGGTTACACAATTTAATGACCTGGAATTCAAAAACAAAGGCAACAAAATTTTAATAATTGAAAAAGTGATTTAGACACAAGAAATATTTTCCATGTCATGGAACAGTGATTCCTTGGGTCTGTGGACTCAGAGCTATGCATTCAATGAAGATACAAACCTGCTCATCAGAAAATTGTACATGCAAGCAAAAGTTTACATACAATTTCAGTAAATTCACAAATACCCCCAAATGTAAAGATCCTAAAATAAAAACTCTATAGAAAAATAATTTAGTAAGTATAGTGCCTGGACAGCCAATACAATTCATGTTGGTTATCTAGAAAAAATTCTAGAAATTTATTTCAATCCCAGAGGAGGCATAAAAATGAATTTCTTTGATATGTGGTTAATGCGTTCCTTAGTACCCTAAGAGTACCATATCCTGTACAAGATAATTCAATTTTCTTGGATTTAGTTTCCATGTAAGCATGAGAAAGGCAAGTAAATTATGTACTTTTAAATACCACATATTCTTATTTTTTCGAAGAATATGCTACTTGGAAATGCATTTTAAAAAATTACAACAAATAAAGCCTTTATTAACAGGCTGTTAAGGAAAATTTCAGTGTTTCCTTAAAAAAGCTGCTTTAGACGCCATTTTGTGGACGCCAGGGAGCCGGGCGGAGGGTGTGGACTTCAGCCGCCGCGGTTCTCACTCCGGATCTCGAAATGCATCGTGATTCCTGTCCACCGGATTGTAAGGTTTACGTGGGAAATCTTGGGAACAACGGTGACAAGACTGAGTTGGAACGGACTTTTGGCTATTATGGGCCACTCAGGAGTGTGTGGGTTGCTAGAAACCCTCCCGGCTTTGCTTTCGTGGAGTTTGAAGATCATCGAGATGCAGCTGATGCTGTCCGAGAGCTAGACGGGAGAACCCTGTGTGGCTGCCGAGTAAGAGTGGAACTGTCCAATGGTGAAAGGAGAAGTCGAAACCGAGGCCAGCCTCCCTCTTGGGGGGTTCGTCGCCCTCGAGATTATCGGCGAAGGAGTCCTCCACCTCGCCGCAGGTCTCCAAGATGGAGAAGCTTCTCCCGTAGCCGGACCAGGTCCCTTTCCAGAGATAGGAGAGAGAGATCACTATCTCGGGAGAGAAATGATAAGCCTTCTCGATCCTTCTCTAGGTCTCGCTGATCTAGGTCAAATGAAACGAAATAGAAGACCAGTTTCCAAGATGTACAGGAAATAACTTCCTGTGACAGGAGTATGTACAGAAAATTTGAGACTTAAGCGTGGTGCATTAAAAAAATTTTTTTTAATGCTGTCCTTTGTAATGTTTTGTGAGAATCCTTGGAATAAAGTTTTGATTACAAAAAAAAAAGCTGCTTTATTGACTTAAATGGCAAATTTATAAAAGGTTAACGATTTTATATATTCAAAATGATTTACATTATTAACATAACAATTGCACGTGTACAGTTAAGGCTGCACTCATACTGTACACCAATAAAAGTAAATATCCAAGGGGTTCTTCATAGATTAAAACCCATAATTCTTTGATTACAAATACATACTATTTAAAAACAAATGTGTTTTCCCATACCTCCCCTTATCTCTTCATTCCAAAACCTCATTTACTTAACAATTTATTTATACTTTAAAAAAGTCTTTCATAATCTTCACACTTCATTGACTTAAAATGAATGATTGAGTCTTTTTAAAAACTTTAACTGTATTCAAAACTGATTGATGTTTGAAATGTTAAAAAGCAAAATAAAACAATCTTCTTAAATATGCATAAATATTTAAATATAGAAAACCTCCATCAAAAGTCAAAACAAAGTATATTTAATGTTTGTAGTAGTAAGAAGAAAAGGGCAATTCATGCCAGGGGAAGATTTAAAAATGAGACTTTTCCAGCAAACACTGCCTATGGGACAGCCTCTATTTTGATAATTTAAATCTAAATTTACTTAGACAAATAAAGAACTATTTTAAAAGATCACGCCCACAAGTAATTAACTGGTATTTTGTTTACAAAGCACAATATTTCAGTACAACAAATTCATCTCAAAGAAACAAAGTATGTGTGGCCTCTTAGCCTTTGAAACGCCCTTGATTTCTATTTAGATGATTTAACATGGAGTTGTGATGTGCAAACACAAGAAGCCTGTGTAATGAATAAAGCGTGGGCCCCGTACCACCTATTAATTCCAACATAAGAATATGAGACCTGGAAAAGAAATTGTCAACATTTGATTGATGAAGTACAGGTTATCTGAATAAAATTTATAACCTGGTACCAGTCAGTAATCCCAACACAAATTATTGCTTTGTAATGAACTCTGTATGGTTTGCATGTCCTTCAGTAACTGAAGATTTTTCCTGCTTTTTTCCCCAGGTCTGGGTTTGGTACAGTCCTTCTTATTCGTGGTCCCTGTGTTTCCAGAAGAACGGCTGCTGCTGTTTCCTTCTTCATCAAGAGTCTTTTTGGTGGTTCTTAGTTCCCTTCTCTGCTTTTCTATCTTCTGTTTCTCCAGCTATAGCAAATAACCAAGTCAAGGAATAAAGAAAAATTTAATGAAAACATTCTCTTCTGACAACCGGTACTTTAAAATCTCATACCAAAATGCAAGTAATATAGCCTGGCCGGTGTGGCTCAGTGGTTGAGCATTGACCTATGAACCAGGATTCCCCATCAGGGCATATGTCGGGGTTGTGGGCTCGATCCTGTGTGGGGTGTGCAGGAGGGAGCCAATCAATGATTCTCTCTCATCACTGATGTTTCTATCTCTCTCTCCCTCTCTAAAATCAATAAAAATTAAAAATAATAAAATAAAAATAATATATTCTGGGTTTTTTTTAAGACTTCAAAAATCTAATTTACCAGTCATTTAATACTTAGTGCTTAAAGTATATAGTGACATACAAATAAGTAAACAAGAGTAAACACATCAATTGTGGTGCAGTATCAGAAGTTAAGGTCATGTTGCCAAAGTGCAGAACACTTTGCAGGAAAAATATCGGACAAGGGAAATGAAGGATAGTAGGTGAAGGAGAGAAGAAAGGCATTCTAGTCTGAGCAGGCAAAGAAGCATGTTCCAGATGGATGAAGAGATGTAGTGGTAATGTACTAATATATGTAAATAATTTTTATTTTATTATTTCACTATAATTAGAATAATTTAGTATTAATAGGGAAGCTTTATTTTTACTTTAGCTGCTGGCTAAAATGAACTGCTGCTAACATGTCAGTGTTCCATTAGAGAGAACTGACTTCACAGGGGAGTTTTACCAAACATTCAAAGAAGAATCAACACCTATCCTCCTTAAAATATTCCAAAAAATTCAAGAGGAAGGAACACTTCAAACTTGTTTTAAGAAGCCAGCACTATCCTAATCCCGAAACTAGATGAAGACATGACAAAGAAAGAAAATATAGGCCAATATCCATGATGAACACATAGGCTAAAATCCTCAACAAAATGCTAGCAAATTGGATCCAGCAATATATTAAAAAGATCATACATCATGACCAAGTGGAATTTAGTCCAGGGATGCCAGGCTGGTACAATATTCAAAAATCAATAAATGTGACACATCACATAAACAAAATGAAGGATAAAAACCACATGATCATATCAATAGACACAGAAAAAGCATTTGACAAAATCCAGCAACCATTTTTGATAAAAATTCTCAGCAAAGTGGGAATAGAGGGAACATACCTCAACATAATAAAGGCCACATAGGACAAACCTATAGCCAATATCATACTCAATGGGCAAAAACTAAAAGTGTTTGTTTCCCTTAAGAACAGGAACAAGACAGGGATGAGCGCTTTCACCATTATTATTTAACATAGTACTGAAAGTCCTAACCACTGTGATCAGACAAGAAAAAGAAATAAAAGGCATTCAAATTGGAAAGGAGTAAGTGAAACTGTCATTATTCGAAGATGACGTGATATTGTACATAGAAAACCCTAAATACTCCATCAAAAAACTAGAGTTAATAAAGGAATTCAGCAAAGTAGCAGGATACAAAATTAACATCCATAAATGGATGGCATTTTTATACACCAATAATTAATTCTCAGAAAGAGAAACTAAAGAAAGCAGTCCCATTTACCACTGCGACAACAAAAAGAAGTAGATACCTAGGAATATACTTAACCAAGGAGGTAAAAGACCTCTACTCAGAAAACTATAGGACATTGAAAAAAGAAATAGAGGAAGACACAAGCAAGTAGAAGCATATAGCCCGTTCAAAGATTGGAAGAATTAACATAATTAAAATATCCATACTACCGAAAGCAATCTATAGAGTGAATGCAATCCCTATTAAAATACCATCGACATATTTCACAGATCTAGACCAAATATTCAAAAACTTTATATGGAACCAGCAAAGACCACGAATAACCGTAGCAGTCTTGAGAAAGAAGAACAAAGTTGGAAGGATCACAATACCATATATCAAACTATATTATAAAGTCACTGTAATAAAAATAGCCTGTTACTGGCACAAGAACAGGTATATAGATCAATAGAACAGAACTGAGACCCTAGAAATCAACCAACGCTATTAGTCAATTAATATTTGACAAAGGAGGCAAGAACATATTATGGAGTCAAGACTGTCTCCTCAATAAATGGTATTGGAAAAATCGAACAAGTACATGCAAAAAAATGAAGCCAGACCACCAACTTACACCATACACAAGAATAAACTCAAAATGGATAAAAGACTTAAATGTAAGTTGCTAAACCATAAAAATCTAAAAGAAAACATAGGCGGCAAAATCTCAGACATCTCATGTAGCATAATTTCCACTGAAACATCTCCTAGGGCAATAGAAAGAAAGAAAAAAAAAAAAACCAAAGCAAATAGGACTACATCAAACTAAAAAGCTTCTGTATAGCAAAATGAAAAGGGATCCTACTGTATGGGAGAACATATTCACCAATATACATCTGATAAGGGTTAATTTCCAAAATATATAAAGAACTCATGCAACTCAACAAAAGACAAATAACCCAATTTAAAAAAAAAATGGGCAAAGGATCTTAATAGACACTCTCTAAAGAGGACATATAGATGGCCAATAGACACATGAAAAAAATGCTCAACATCACTAATCATCAGAGAGATGCAAATTAAAATGACAATGAGGAATCACCTCACACCTGTCAGAATGGCTACCATCAATAAATCAACAAACAACAAGTGTTGGCAAGGATGTGGAGAAAAGGAAACCCGGTACACTGCTGGTGGAAATGTAGATTGGTGCAGCCACTGTGGAAAATAGTATGGAGTTTCCTAAAAAAGTAAAAAATGGAACTGCAACATGACTCAGTGTTCCCACTTCTGGGAATATATTCTAAGAATCCCAAAACACCAATCAGAAAGAATATATGCATCTCTATGTTCATAGCAGTGTTTTTTACAATAGCTAAGAACTGGAAATAGCATCAGTAGATGAGTAGATAAAAAAGATGTACATTTACACAATGGAATACTATTCAGTTGTAAAAAATAAGGAGCTCTTACCCTTTGAGACAGTATGGGTGGACCTGGAGATTACTATGCTAAATGAAATAAGGCAGTTAGAGAAAGACAAATATCAGATGATCTCATTTATATGTGGAATCTAGTGGACAAAAACTGAAAAAACAGATACAGAGGCAGGGATGCATGAAGTAGGCTAACAGATCTCAGAGGGCAGGGGCACGGGAGACTAGAAGAGATTAAACATAGAATTTATATGCATACTAGTGACCTGGTACACGAATTCGTGCACATTAAAAGGAAATTAAATAGAATATTTTAATATCGCCATTCACCCTTTTTTTCTAATAGAAGTGTCAAACAAATTCATGATCAACAATGACAGATAGAAACACACGTGCAATTGGCGCCAGCGAGAGCTTTATATGTATCGTACATGTGCGTGTCAACTTAGCCTTTTATAGATATAGAATAAATTTGCTTAATTAGACATGCTTTCTGATTTAGCTAAACTTTTTCCAGCCCAGTGAAGCACCCCAACTTCTCTTACAGGTAATTGTCAGCAACACAGCAGTAACTATCAACACAAAGCAGATTATTATTGTAGATCACGCAGGGAGAAGAAAGGTAAAATATTGAACTGCAGCAGTGTTTGACTATATTTTACACAGTGAGAAAACATGAAGTCATTTTCAAGGTCCACCATTTCTTACTTCTTTTCAGTCGGGTCAAGTTTCTAAACTTTCTAAATCTCCATTTTCTGGCTAATGAAACGAAAATAGGATTCTACTTAGTCGCCTATCTACCTCCACCAGGACTTCTGTGAGGATCAAATGAGATGAGGCATGGGAAAACAGACATTTGGTTAAAGTGTAAAATGTTGCCACCTGGCTCTATATAAAGTAAGTCATGTTCCTGGGCTGAAGAAACTGCAAGGAGGCTAGTTGCTAGGGAGAAGAATCTGGGCGCTGTTACGTGATGTCATTATCCAGTGCCTACAGCCACTGTTTTCGGGCTGGCCATGGGGTTTCAGCAGCATCAGCTGTGATTTGATGAGGTGTTGCTTTGGGGTGTTGGTGGGGCCTGTATTCCACTTGGGGGAAGCTGAGTGTTGCTTTGTTGGTGCCAGGTCTGCGCTGCCATGTCTCTATAAATGGCCAGTGTGATGTCATGGCAGCTCCTGCGTTGAGCGTCTGCCCCCTGGTGGTCAGTGTGCATCATAGTGACTGGTCAGATGGGCATAGAGACACTTAGCATATTAATCTTATATATATACTAGAAGCCCTGTGCACAAAAATTTGTGCACTGGCGGGGGGGGGACGGGGGGTGAGCGCCCTCGGTGGGTCTGCTGTTCTGGGCGCTGGGGAGAAGGAGGCCGCGGAGGGTGAGGCACCGAAGCAGGAGGAGGCTGCAGAAGGAAGGCTAGGAGCCCAGGACTCATGGCGCCCCCACCGCCACCCCGCATTCCTCTGGGGCCTGCACGCAGTAGTGCCATGGCTGCATCAAGGCCACCGTCTAGGCTTGGAGGTGAGTCCTCTGCGGCCTGCCTGGTGTGGGTGGGGTTTCGGGTCACCTTGAGGGAGGCCACCGCCCCGCCCTACACACAGCAGGCCCTGATCCTGCTCTGGGGTGGCTGTGGCTCAGGATCACACTGCCGCCCGCCCCGC